GGAGTAGAGTCTGGGAAACTGAATAGGGGGAAAAAAAAAAAAGGGAATGGAATGTCTGAATTTCAAAGCCTAATGCCAGTGTTGTATTCCACTGCAGCAAACCAAAGCCCAGAAGAAGAAACGAAAACAAGATCGTGCGGTAAGTACTTTCTTTTTGCAATAATCTAAGTCCTCAGCTGCACTCACAGAACACAGAGGAAAACACTTGAAAGAGCTTGGTTTTGTACTGAAGTTCTGTTTTATCTTGCATGCCAGATCACTTACCTCTGTTATGAAGATGTGACACAATATAAAACTGTTTTCCATAAATCAGAAATCTTGTTTATGCAGTGATAGGTGGTACTCCAGCATTTTCTTGCTTGTCCACAGCATCTTTTGGAACACAACGCTTTTAGAAAACAACTACTAAATAACAAGACAGAGCTAATGTGTTGCACTGATGAACTTTTTAACCAAGGCCCCAAGTCAATTATGAAATGATCCAGCAAACCCAACTGCCTTAAGATAACGTGAAATTTGGTTTCAAGGACAAAGTCATCAGCTGTAATTGTAAAATAAAAGTAAAAAATCAAAGATAGGGTAGATAGTTTTATTAAAAAGAAAAATTATTTTAAAAAAGCAAATTCTTCCTGTCTCCTACCAGATTGAAGAACACAATGGCCACGTGTTCACAAACTACCAAGTGAGCATACGGCAGTCGTGTGAACACTGCTCGTCCTACATCTGGCCCATGGAGAAGGCCTGTCTCTGCAGTGGTGAGTGAAAATGCCTCATTCGTGCCGCTTAGTTTACAATACGTGCAGACGACTTATAACTTTGTCTGGTACGGTTGGGGCTTAGTGAACAGTACAGCAGGTCATATAGCAGGTGAATAAGACCAGTTACTTAGTATTTTCACGTGATTCGGAATGTTTGTAACAATTTCTCCTCTCTTTAGTTTGCAAGCTGACTTGCCACAAGAAATGCATGTCCAAAATACAGAGCAGCTGCACATCCTGTGGAAAAAAGGTAAGAACTTTGGATCTGGGTACGGTGATACTACGAGTCATGCGTGCAAAATGCTGCCTTTTTTTCTGAGTGAACAAACAGTGGACTGAATAAAAATTGCTTAAATATTTAAGTTCCCTTTTCTGCCTGCATATAGTCAGACCCAGGCTCTGCAGTTGCAGAAAGAGAACATTCTTCTAAAAGGTGATACTTGAGCTAATTTGGGAACTCTTCCTTTAGGGTATGTCTGCTGTGTTGGACAAACTGTTAAAGGAATCCTTTAATGTGTACCATAAAGTTTGGTTTTTTTTATTGCTGCAGCTCAGGAAATCTACCTTATGATCAAAGGCTTGTATCAAGCTAGAATAAAACACTCAGTTTTTGTTTCTGGAAGGATAAGCTAATTGTAGCATTAAATGATGGAATTTTCTAGCTTGGGAACAGGTATTCAGAGTGCTTGACTTATATCCATTCCAGAATGAACAGGATGCAGAACCACGTCACTTTGGAGTGTGTGTGAGTTCCCTGACCAGTGAGAGAAATTCAGTCCCTGTTGTCATGGAGAAGTTGCTGGAGTACGTGGAGATGCACGGCCTCTACACAGAAGGCATTTACAGGAAATCGGGATCAGCAAATCGTATGAAGGAGCTGAAACAGTTGCTGCAAGCAGGTCAGGCAATGTTGTCCACCCTTTTGAATTCCTTGCTTGATACCAGTTTTCCCTGACAGTATCTAACATTTTCTAGTGTTTTAAAACCAGCTTTTTGGTGGCCATGCAGGCTGTATTATTTTTGTTGGCTAGAAAAAGCTGTTTAGTGCATGTAAGTGACTCTCAGCAGACTTCCCCTTTTTTTTATTTCTGAATTGCCACTTGGATTCTGTGAACAGGAAATTTAAGTGTCTAATCTTATTTCTTTGAGGTCGCATTGTGTACATCAAAGGAATGAACTGCCCTAAATAAAACCTCTCTTTTCAGATCCAAACTCGGTGAAACTGGAGAATTACCCTATTCACACTATTACGGGCATCCTTAAGCAATGGCTGCGGGAATTACCAGATCCACTAATGACATCTGCGCAGTACAATGATTTTCTCCGAGCTGTAGGTAGGTTTCAGAAATGTTTGAAGCAATGGTTTTTCTTTAACTTGTTACATCCTTGGGAAAAGAAACTCTAAGATGCTCATGCTGGCTTTAGATTCATTTAATGTCAGTGGGATTAAGGCATGCTAAATATTGTTGGAGATCTTGATGTGTTACTTGATGATTGCTCACAGCAGCACCATCTGAAAAAGCAGGAAAATTGCAGTGCCATCAGGCGTACTTTAACATCCAGTTACAACAATTGGTAAATGAAATGACAGTGTGGCTTCTAAGAATTTAATCTCGATGTGTTGCAGACAGTTTGAGACAATGTCAGAAAGCGCTTGGCAGCTTTCCACTAGCGTTGCACAGCCGTTACGATCTTGTGCTTTCCCCCCTTGTGCAGAACTACCAGAAAAACAGGAACAACTCTGTGCCATTTACAGTGTCCTTGAACAGCTTCCACAAGCAAATCATAACACCCTGGAGCGACTCATCTTCCATCTGGTCAAGTAAGGAGTGTAATTGCTTCAGTTAGAGAGAAATTCTGTGTGGCTTTTTTGAGTCCCTCTTGGAAGCTTTCTAAAATCATAAACCCCTTGAGTGTCAGCGTAGGGATTGTGCTGCTGGTTTAGAAATGAAAGCACTGAAGGTGATAGTTGTGCTTAAAGACAGACGTGTGCTTACTTCTGCCATCTGGTGTGTTTGTGTCAAATCAAGTAAGAACAAATTTGAAGACAAGGTAGATGCGAAAGATTTAGTGAGTCGTCTGGACACCAGGATCTGTACAGATGGGTACAGAGTGTACCGCGGATGTTAGTGTAACTTGGGACTGCATAAGGATTATAAATGCTTGTACATATGCTAGTCTTGGGAGCAGGGATAAATGGTACTGCTGAAGGGGCTGCTCTTATCCAAGGAACTTGAGAATTTTCTGAGTGGCCCTCTGAACATAGGGAAAAAGGGATTTTTTTTTTTTTTTTTAAAGAGGAGGCACTGAATCACCAGACAGACTTTGAGAGGCTGCCAAACTAGCTTCACCTGGTGACTTCCTGGTCCTTTTTCTGATGCATGAAACTTTGTCTGCTTAGTAGGTGTGAAATAATTTTGAAACTTCTTTGAACTGCTGTACTTACTTAGTACCCTAGAGGCTTCCTTACGTGTTATTTGGGAACTCTGGCAAAGTTTGATCAGATTGCCTGTATTCTAGCAAGGTTTGCTTAAAACTTTTTTTTTTTTGAACATTGAATTTCAGAGTGGCTTTGATAGAAGATGTCAACCGTATGTCACCCAATGCCTTGGCCATTGTTTTTGCTCCATGCCTTTTGCGGTGTCCGGATACCTCTGACCCTTTAACCAGCATGAAGGATGTTTCAAAAACAACCATGTAAGTTTTAGCAGTCTGCTGCAAAGTTCTACTTTGAAATATAATGGAAGGCCAATCCTGCTACCTGCATTTGTTACAACCTTATTCGTATGAAGGGTTAAGAGGTGCTAAATTCTGTCTCTGCTATTGCTGCCCATTTATATGTCATTCTCTGACTCCTTTCACCTGTCCCAAGTTGACAAATCATGAACTAGGATGATTTTGAAATCTTAAATATCAGGTTTGTATTTTCCATCCAGATAATATTTTGGGGGGATTGTACACTAATCATATATACTTTGCTGAGGTACAAGCCATAATAAACAGTAGGATATAGAATTAAACTGTCCCCTTCATTCTTGGAAACCCCTGATAATTTCTTCTGTGTTGTTCCTTGAATTGAAGAAGGTTCTGTCCTTGATCCTTTCCGTTCTCATCACTCTCCAGCAGCTCTGGCTCTGAGTGCCCCTCACTGTATGGCTGGCCCTGCATCTGCCTCCAATGAGAACAGAGTTTGGAAAGTGACAGCTTTTTGTAACTTCTTACTCACCCATGGGGCCATAGAAGTGGAAAAGGGAGGTTGCAGGCTCATTCTGTATCTACCAGTCTGTGCCAGAACAGGGGAGACAGGTAGAAGCAGCAGTTAGCCATGGTCATGTCCGTTTGCTTTCCATTGTTGTGTCCAGTCAGCATGAGGGGCTCACGTTATCGCAGGACGAACACGTGCCATTACCTGTGACAGTCTTTCCTGTTTTGCTCGCTGTGTTGGACTCTTCACCCTGTTACCATGCGGTGCTACCCCCTGTAAGGCATGCATTGGGACACGTTGATTGCATGCCATCTACGCGTGTGTGCAGCAAACGCCCCCAAGCCAGGAGAGGCATTCCATCCCACCATGTTGTCCCCAGAGCTTTCTTAGTATGAGGCTGCTCAATAAATTCTCACCCTTTTATCCAGGTGTGTAGAGATGCTCATAAAGGAACAGATAAGGAAGTACAAGATAAAAATGGATGAAATAAATCAGCTGGAAGCAGCTGAGAGCATTGCTTTTCGACGACTCTCATTGCTTCGGCAGAATACGGTAAGTGTTGAACTAAACCACGGAACCACACCATCCAGCAGAAAGCATCCCACCAGTTTCTTGGGACAGGATGTGCTGCTTATTTATCCTGTCCATGCCATCCAGTAAGTCAAAGACCAATTGCAAGATAAGGAAAAGAAGGGATTTGGGCTTGCCCAAAACTGTAGGTAGGAGCTAAGTATACAGCTGTACTGGACTCTCAGTTTGATAAAGGGCACAGGGGTGGGGGGCTGCTCTTGTAGTGGTCAAAATCTATTCTGATATAATTCAATCAGCAGAACTAAGATTGCTGAGTGTCTTAAACAGCAAGGGAGTTACTTCACTCCAGAGATGGATGGTGGAAAAAAATATGCTGCATTCCCTTAGGGCAAATACACTTTTGTTTTTGTTGTACTGATTAAAACAAACCAAACTCTCTCTGATCAGAAGCTGCATATAGTGAATTTGGTCTTCATCTCTCTCTAGCTCTGGCCTGTAAAACTTGGGTTTTCTTCCCCGTATGAGGGGATGCTGGTATGTACACTGCCTGTGTTAAGAGTGCATGTTTTTTTTCTTATGGTACTATTGCATGACTAAAATACTTACTATTTGTATTGTAACTTGGTTTTAAATAATCTTTTGAACAATCGAGACTGCATGTATTGGTGCAGCTTCCTCCCCAGACTGCATGCAGGGTGCTGGCCTGTTCTGTCGTGACTCTTGTATTTCATAGACATTCTGAATGTAACTTGTATTGGATGTTGTAATGTTACTCATAAGTTACTACTACAACTAAGCTAAGGCTGGCAAATCAAATTACTATGCTTCAAAACAGGTAACAAAACCCTAGAAATCAGGTGAACAGAAGAATTTCTATTACCTCTGGAAACATCTGTATGGGTAACTAACAGCTCACCATAAATTCCATCAGCCCTTCATTTCCCTACTCATTTGGCTTCCACCTTGCAACTAGGAGACAGTCAAGACTTGTGTAGCTTCTTAGGACTGAGAAGCTTTACACATAAAATTGTCTTGCAGAGTAAAAGCTCCCAGGTCAAAGGAAATGACAGTGGCAACTCAGAACTGGACTCACTGCATGAAGAAGAGGAAGTTTCTGAAGCTGATAACCGAGAAAAGGAGATTCTCATTGATCGCATACAGTCGATAAAAGAAGAAAAGTAAGTCCCAGCTTTGGAAATCCTTTACCTCTGTAGGTCATGCGCTTTGCAGCTGGAGGTAATACAGATAGTAAAGCAGTATACTTTTTGTCCAAAATGAGATAATTATGTTCTGTAGACCTTTATGAAGGTGCAAAGGACTAGCTGAGAGAAAATACCACGAGAATTAATATTTAATGACTACAAGCAGGAAGGTTTACCTCTGAATTTGTGCTGCGTCAAGTTGTTCATACCAGAGACGTTCCTACAGAGTGCTGCAATCTCTGTTCTGATGTAGGGAAGATATAACTTACCGGTTACCTGAGCTTGATCAACGAGGCTCTGATGAGGAAAATGTAGACTCGGAGACCTCAGCAAGCACAGAGAGCCTGCTTGAAGATAGAACAGGACGGATGGATACCGAAGGTCAGTATTAAGGTAGTGTGTGTTTTTTTTATTCTACATCTTTCACTGCACACAGCCAGGTGACCAGGTGTTATCTGGTCACAGTTGCTTGTATCAGGTTACATTTTTATGCATACTTTCAGTATCTAAGTATCTTGTTTCTTTAAAGCAATTATTGGATTACACTGCCGTGCTCAGAGCTCCAGTATGCCTGCCAAAGACATTTGCAAAGTGCCTTCTCTTTTGCAAACCTCTTCAAATTTTTCCTCTGCATCCCTGGCTTCAAGACACAGATCATGTTTAACACTGTCCAAGATTAAAGTGCCCCGTCGAACTCCGGTGATGCCAACAGAAAATATAAAACTTCCTCCTGGGATTTTCAAATGTACAGAATCCCGGGGCGGGATTTCGGCTAACGAAGAGTCTCAAATAATGGTGAGACGAAGGGAGCAGCCAGCAAGGCGAACTGATAAAATCCATTCTGTGTACATTGCACAAGGGTCTGCGACGGCCCACGCTCAGGAACTCTTGGATGAATACGAACCAACAGCAAAAGTAAAACGGAGGTTTTCGGACCCTTACTCTCACATTCCCTGTATAGAGAAGTGAAAATACTTCAGCTGTCTGGACTGGTTTTGAAGTTGACTGCAGCTTTGGCTTTAACCCTTTGAAGGCTGTGAACTTGTTCTTTTCAGTGGCTGCTGGGAAGGCAGCCTGGAACTGTACAGTACTGGAAGGGTTAAGCAAGGCTGTTTAAATACAAATATTCTTCCCTTTAAATTAAAACCCTGCGGAGAAAGTAGAACGTAAAACTTATGTTGAGTAAAATACATGGGTTGAGTGTACAGAAAAAAAAAAAAAGCCCCCTGATTCTGCTGCCGTGCCTTTTCCCGTTTGCCTTACAGTGGACTCTCATGGGACCAACAGTGAGTTTGGGTCAGTGTGTGTTGCCTTAATTTTTTTTTTTTTATGTTTTTATGACCGTTTCTGTGTGGTTTACAGAACTGTTCGTGTTGTAATAGCCTTAACTGAGACCAAAATATATAAAAACGTTTATTAATACGTTGCACTTTTTAAAAATACATCTGTTAGTTTATTAAAAGTCTGTCTTGTCTAATGACCAATTTATTTCAAAGGAAGCCTTTAACTGGAATCGTGTCTCTTCAGGGGAAGGCTCTGGGCAG